GTATTATATATTGAACTCACCGTAAATTGCATCTCCCGATTCACTACCACCGTATCATTTGAATCGGAGTAAAAAAATGAAGAGTCAAGGGCGATTCCAACTTGACCTTTATACTGATTATAGTACTCGCGTTTATACAAATGATAAGCAACCGCATGTGATTTCAATGCATTATGCACACACAAATATTCGCCTTAAATATCAACCAAATTAACAAATTAAACAACTTCAATTCGATTGGATAAGGCAGTTATATACCTTTTCCGTGTGCATTGATGCCAGGTGCATGAATCTTTCCACCATAGCCCTTTACACAAAATTCTGCTGCTTCATTTATGGTAATCCAATACTTGACACGATCGCCGAACCGATTGAACAGTAAGTTTGCATATTCTTCAAAGTATTGAACAATGGCTGAATTTGCAAAACCACCCAATAATTGAAGGTGTGCTGGTAGATCGAAGTGATACATCGTCACCATTGGTTCGATTTTGTATTCGATGAGCTTGTTGATAATTTTGTTGTAATACTCGATGCCTTTTTCATTTACTTGTGTTATATCGCCAGTTGGCAAGATACGCGTCCACGAGATTGAAAATCGATAAAAGTTCATCTAAATAATAAATGAGTAAGCTACTCAAATGAACTGAAACACAAATATATATTTTTTACATTTAAACTTTTCACTGCTTCGACATCGTCCAAATAATATTCATAAGAGTTGGCACCAACATCGCCATTCTGACGATCAACTATTTTTTCGGGATGCAAGTGAGTGAATTCGTCCCAAATTGATGGTCCCTTACCATCCGAATCCCAGCCACCTTCAATTTGATATGCAGACGATGACACACCAAATAAGAAATTCTCCGGAAAATGTTGACTAGATCCATTTTTGGCAACTACTATTTCCACTCTAAATAATTTCAATAATTTACTTCAATTATTTGGATTTTTTCAAAATTATTTGTGAATACTTGCATGAAAATGGTAAAAATATAAATTAATCTCGACAAAAACATATTTGCTTGTAATGTCGCTATGCCACTTTTTCTACTAATTCCATTTATTGGCAAAGCACGTTTTCATAATCGTTCTTCAGAGTTTTTTTTATATTCACAATCAGTGCGCTGATAAAACAAAGATGAACATATTGCGGCAGTTTTATTTTTTTGAAGGAAATAGGTTATCTGTATTAGATTATGACATGGTCATAGTTCAATGCTTCAAACGATACGTTTATTTTTTGTTGTTGTTTATTATGACACGTGTCGTATGATTCATAATAATGTTCGAGGCGCAATGCAAAGTGGGGGTAAGGACAAGGCATACTTACTTAAAAATTACTATTCCATTACTCTACCATTCCTGATCCATTCCTTCGATTCATTTTCCATTCCGATCCATTACGCATTGATTAATTTCCATTTTTTCCATTCTTTTCTTCTGCTCAACTCTTAGGTAAGGAGCTTAACACAATTCATTCGAAGTTATCTTTTCATTATTATTTATCAATTTATTTTCTTCAAAAACATTACATCTTCAGACTCATGATATGGGTCGTCTCATTAGAGTACGATGGATCTCATTTAAAAGTGGGTTTTCGCTTGAGCAATCCCAAGCAATCAGTGGTGGTCATATCTTCCGATTCTTCTAATAAGAAGTGTCGAGGTGCTGCCTCTTCGCGGGAAACACGTAGAAATCTTCAAATAGATAGAAATAGTTTAATTAATTTATCATCTCATCGACACATTTTCATTGAGAAAACTTACACATCTTTTGCTGGTCGTTTTACTGTTAGTTGGACCAACAATTTTATTGGGTCTCTCTTTAAGAAGTCTTTTTTGTCAAAACTACTATCCTCTCCTTTCATGCTATGATGATATTAATTTGGATTTACTGCTTGTTTTTTGGGCAAATTTTCTTTAATACTTACAAACTCTTATATTTTGCAAACCTGTAAGAATACAATCAGATCATTGTTACAATGTGACTTACATAAATTAAATTCAAAACTCACATGGTGTTAGTTAAAATAACCGTTATTCGTCTGATTAGCTTTTCTAAATTGGATAGTTTTATCATTATTATAAAGTCAAATGGTGAAAATTGAAAATCGAATGTACATTAAATCGTAGAGACATCCACAAGAATCCCTAAAAAGATATACGATTCGTGATGAAATAGAGAATAAAAACTAACTCTGGAATATAATCTTTATATCCACCCGGATGAATTATATCCTCAAAACTTATTAACTCGATATTAACTTCTCTGTTGCTCGAACAACATTCACGGCAATCTGAAATGATTATAAGCAATAAATTATTAAGTAATAAAGTCACCTGGACGAATCGATAAAGTAGATTGATAAAGAATTACAATTGTTAAAGCCGGCACCAAAGTCAAAGAGAATATATTCATCTTTGCTGTTTTCACTGAGATATATTAATGATAATTCGTGTGCTTTCTGAAGAGTCTTATATGCATTGGGTAAATGGCTGATGTAGACATGACAGGTGTAGAAAGTTTATTTATGCGGGTTTGAACTTCTTCAATAGCGATGCTTATATGTATAAATTTCATTATTTTCTTCGAAATTTGTCATTGAAGCTGTTTTTTTTTTATTTTCTACAAAAAAAAAAAGATATCAAAAAGATGACGTGTTTAGCAAAAAATATTCGGTTGATAATAATTACATCTTGACACAAGTATACGAAAACAGTTGCCACGAATTTTCTTTATAAAATAAATGTTGGACTTTGAATAGGAGAATGTGTTTTTTCTTCATAGTATGGGGTTTGATACTTACAAACTCTGTGGGATCAATACAATATTTGCTTTTGACAAGTATTTGGGACATTATAGAAAAACTTTGATCGGTAATTTTCCACGGAAGTTTTACATGAGCTAAGCTATGCTTAGTTGAAATGGAAAAATTATTTAATTTGCTTGGAGATAATACCATTGCATGGGCATTTCAGGTGAATGATCGATCCCGCCCTTTCCGTCAAATTTTTTGCATTTTGAACACACCTTTTGTTCGGCTCAATTCATAAAATCAATAGTATCTTTGTCATCCCAAATATTAAATTATTTTTCTATTTCTCATCCTCACTTCAATTTTAATTACGACGTACGACGTTTTTTAAATCGATTTTTTTTCCAAATTAATAAGATTAAACTCTATGTAGGATATTTAAGAATTTTTTTAAAGTTGTTTTTGCATTTTTATTCATCGCTTCTCTCATTTGATATAGTTACCGTTTTCATTTAAAAAAATGTTCACAAAACCAGTTAATAAGTGGCACTTATTTAAAAAGAACTATTTTCACAAGCAATAGCAATTTGTAGAAGTATTTTTAGACATTTTCCAATGCTAAAGTCATATTCAAGTTTAATGAAGATAGAATTTTGAAAATGACATGAGACATAGATCATGTCAATGGATATATGTAAACAAATGTTAGGATTTTGGAAAAAAAAAGAATTTTTAGTTTATTTATAGCTGTATTTTTAAGTGACGATCGCTTTTTTACATGTCAATACAATATTTAATCATAGCCACTTTATTGTCCATTCATAAATGGTAGGAAGACGTTTAAAACATCTGAACAGCCAACAGAATCGTCTGGTTCAAGCAAGTAAACACGCAGAGCTGCTTCTTCGCGCGATACATTTTCAAATCTATGAATGAAAAATGATAATGAATTGATGTACTATTGCAATATTCTGCCGTGACTTACATTTCTCGAACTGTCTTGATATCGTCCTCTCTGTAAATTAATAATTTTGAAAATAATTCTGGTTATCTAGTTGAATTTATTCAAACTCACATATCCATTCTTCGTGTTGTCAAGTAGCATAAGAAGTGAATGGGATCTTTCATGAATTCAGTTTTCAACGCTTGTTTCGCACGATAATTCTCTTCTCCAGACAGTCTTTATATTTAGAGAAAAATGTTTATTATGCAATTTGAATGATTATAATCTATCACGA